TTTTTTATAATAAAAATTAATTATTCTATTAATATTTCCAAAAAATAAAATTATTTAAATTAATATTTTTTATAAAATAATTATTTTAAATTAAATGATATTACTTTATTACAAATTTTCTTTTTAAATCAAATAACGTTATTTAAATTAATATTTTTAAGTTAAGTAATATTTTTTAATTTAAATGAAATTATATAAATTAATTAAATTTATTTAAATTGAAAATATTTTTAAAATTAAATAATATTATTTTGAATTAAATAAAATTATTTAAATTAAATAATATTTTTAATATTTAATAATATTAATAAATAAAATTATGTAGATTAAATAATATTTTTTAAAATTAAATAAAATTATGTAAAATAATATTTTAAATTAAATAATATTATTTAAAACTAAATAAATTTATTTAAATTTAAATAATATATTTTAAATTCAAAAAATTATTTTTAAATTAAATAATATATTTTTTTTGGACAAAATGGTCATTTCATTAGAGGGATAAAATATCTCATTTATTTTATGGGATTGAATTATCCAGCCACATATGCATCTCCGCATGGGGCCCACATGCTATATAAATGCCACATAGACTAAATCCTAGTCTCAATCGTGTATAGTAAATGCATAATAAGGTTGTTTAAAGCCGGTATCCCATCCCCATCCTGGTAAGTAAAACAGCCATAGTGATAGAGGAGGTATTGAGTATGATGAACAAGTGCATTGCAACTATATTCATGTAAATGAGGTGATAAAGCAGACATACAACTACAAGCACCAGAAAAGATCAACCTAATGCATGAACAACCCATTGATAATATGATACCACAGATAAATCTTTTATCTCTTGGTCTCAGAAAATAGGTACATAAATTATTGTATATAAACTTGTCTCTATAATATTATTACTAGAAAAATACTACATTGTCAACCAAATGTACAACTAGGTTGATAACACAAGTAAAAACATTCACTTGTGTTGTCAACCTAGTTGTGCACTAGATGGCAATGTAGCATTTCTCTTATTATTATTATTATTATTATTATTATTATTATTATTATTATTATTATTATTATTATTATTATTATTATTATTATTATTATTATTATTATTAATGACTAAGTTCGGACAACAATATTGGAATTATGGGACAGATAGTAGAACTACCCTATAATATAATAATAATAATAATAATAATAATAATAATAATAATAATAATAATAATAATAATAATAATAATTAGGGCTGCACAAAACTTGGTTAACCGACAGAAACTGAAATTTTGGCTTGGACCAAAACAGAAACTGAATTTTTGGTTCGCTTTTCCGTTTGTATTTTTTTCTTAAATTTCAGTTTTCGATTCGGTTTGAATATAAATGGCCGGTTAACCGAACCAAACTAAAAACCGATCTATATATGTAAATTTTAAAGGCCATATATTACGCAAGTTCATGTTCATACTTTTTAGGCCCGTGTGTTGATTCTTTTGCCAAAATACATAACTAACCTAGTTATCAAAAATAATTCTATAAAAACAACATCATATATAGGATTCCAAAAATACTCCAATAAGAAGTTACAGCAATTAATAATTCAACTGCTCTATTTTTCTTTCTTCCTTGCCACCCATAATTCAATTGTCCTCTTTCTTTCTCTCTCTTCCTTCTCATCTTTCTCTCTCTTCCTTCTCACTCTTACTCCTCGTTTCTTTTTTCATTTCTTCTTCAATTATCTTCATCTCTTCTTCTTCTTCTTCTTCTTCTTCTTCTTTTCTTCTTCTTCTTCAATTCTTTTTATTTATTTTTTTCTTTCTTCTTCAATTATCTTCTTCTTCTTCAAACATGAATGTCTAAGAATAAAAACAACAAAAAAATGATTAATTAATTGATTATGTACATACATTATAACTAAATCAACTAAAAAGCAACAAAATTTTTTGTTAAATTAAATTAACAACAACAATAATAATAAAATAGAATACATATATACAAATTATACCGATACTGATAAATTACGAAGAACTCAAAACCATTTGATGTAATAAGAAAATAATAACATAACAACATAACAACAACAAATAAACAACATTAACATTTGATGCAACAACAAAACAATAACACAACTCCAACAAATAAACAACATGAAAATAACTATTACTGCAAAATTCAAAGCCCTTGTAAGATAGTTATGAACTATTACTACATAAGCCTTTAAACATGCATGACTTGTTCACACCACATAGCGTCAAATTAAGTGCCCCATTGATGATTTGATGAACTAAAATGCTAGGAAGGCCAATTGATGTTGGGCTGGCCCCCTAAGAGAAAAATCAATTGGGAGCCTCATGATTGATTAGTTGAAGATCAATTTATCTTTTTCTTTCT